AACTAGAGGGATATAAAATCACTGTTTATTCCATTGCCAGATGGGCTGAGAAGAAATTCATCGGATGTGGAAGCTACATATTGAAACATGTATTTAATTCTTCAATGAGAATAACCTGACTTTCTGAATCAGGGTTCTGAATTTATTTTAAAGGAGTAAATTCCATCTCCTTTATCTTTGTGACTGTATAGATGTGCTATAAATGTGTGCACTTATTAATATATATTAATATAATATATATACAGAAACAGAACGGTCTGTTAACGTTGGGCAGGTCTGAACCAGTAAAGCCAACAGATTAAAGAAGGGATATTTAAGCCACCTGCCCCCATTCCAACTCCATCCTCCAGATTGATTAGTTGATGATGTTTGGAAGAAGTATTTCTCCATTGCAGTGTCTGCCCTTGTCAAACCCTCCTGCTAGGGGATTGGTTGATGCGCACCTTGGTATAATTTGGGGAGATAGTAAAAACAGTATTGCTCCATGGAACATTTAATATCTGATTGCTGCCACTGGAATTGGGTGCCAGTGGGTTTTATTTAATTTGTCATTTAATTGTTTTTATCAATTACTTCATGCTGTTTTATTGTTTATGGTTAAACGGCAGGAGTCCTATTTGGAATATGGCAAAAGCTATAAATGAATGAATGAATGAATGAATGAATGAATGAATGAATGAATGAATGAATGAATGAATGAACGAACGTAGGTACGTACGTACATATGTACGTATGTGTACTGGGAGAATCTTGCCTTACATTAGACTGCCGAAAGACTTTTTAAACATTCATTTTATATTGCATCTTAGATCTTATCATACAGATTTAGAAATATTTATTAAATGAGAGACTTAGTTAAATCTTTAAAGTATTTAGGAAAAGAGAAAGAACTCTTGGGGTTTTTTTTCATTTAGATATTTTCTTCTAGTTTAGGACTCATATGATAGAGTCAAACCCATTTAATGAGATTTCCAAAGGGTATCTCTGGAATAAACACATACGGACAGACACACCGACCCCCCCCCCCAAAGAAACACACAACATTAGCTCTTGACATGGACAATGAAATAGAAGGATCAAACACGTACTTGGACAGGAGTAGATATCTTTGCCAAAAGATATCAATGCATAGATATCTTTTGCCCAAAAATTACTGTATTCAGCAATTTTACAACAAAACTGAATCTGAAAAATTCCACTCATTATGAGGATATTGAGATAACCTTATAAATAGAGAATTTTGATCATTTAGATCAGAGGGTCTCAACCTTCCTAATGCCGCGACCCTTTAATACAGTTCCTCAAGTTGTGGTGACCCCCAACCATAAAATTATTTTATGTTTTCTGTATTTTTTCAAAAATATGTTTTCCGATGGTCTTAGGCGACCCCTGTGAAAGGGTCGTTCGACCCCCAAAGGGGTCCCAGCCCACAGGTTGAGAACCACTGATTTAGATGATCAAAAGTCAGCTATTTTGAAGGCAGACTCACCATTTAGTGCTTTTAATAAACTGTTAATTTGATAAGAATTTATTTTATATATGTACTGTATATATTGTTATGTATACTATGTATTAATGGTGTGCTGTATTTTTAAATTCTGTGACTTGGTCTTGGACTGTAAAAAAGCACATAAATAGAATAAGTAAATAAACTTTCCAACAAGTGGGCAAATTGTTAGAATTTATCTCCTGAAGAAATACTTGCACTTTTCAGCAACCAATAACCTTTATTCATTTCTAACACAGAAGCAGTATTTAATTTCTGCCTAGTTCTCAGCAGTGTCCCAGCTATTGCTATTAAAATATTCTCTCCAGTTTGAGTGTGCAGACAGCTTCTGATACAGATTATTTCTATATGAACTTTCAGGTCTGATTGTAAGCATTTCAAAAGAGACATCCAAAAGTACTGTTAAGTATACTCAGAGTTGTAGTATTGCTATACCTATATGCACACATATTTAATGGAGTTAATGGAATTACTAGTGTGAATAAGGTTTATGAGGACAAAAGCTTCACAGGAAAACATTTTAGTGTACCATTTACTTTAGGCACACAACTACATAAACACTGAATATACTGAAATTTAAATCATAAAGAAATAGGCTGATATTCTGGTACTACAACTGGGCTTTTTCTATTCAAATTTATGCTCCGCTCATTGTATGTCATTTTGTTGCAACAATATTCTATTTTTAGAATTTAAATCTCTATAGAATCTAAATATTGATGCCAAAAGTTTACTATCATTTAGAATAGTTACATAGTATATCCAAAAAGCACAACAGCAGTTACATTCAAACATACAATAAAATGAAAGGTTGGTTTGGGGTGTCTTGTGTATATGATGTGTCTCTGGGTATAATTATATAGACTGATAGACACCATAGTACACGTATACACTATGTTTAAAAAGAAGGAAATCCTTAATTTCACATTACAATTTTTCTTCAATTTTTTTTCTCTTTCCTACCTCAAAATACCATTAATAAATTTCCAAACATGGCTCACAATGAGAATAAAATGCAGGTATATTATATGTACTTGGAATGCAATTGAAAATCACATCAGCTTATGAATAAGCATCACGGTGTTTAAAACAATAATTAAGCAATCATTTTGTAAAAGTTTTTCCATACCCTCACTCAATAAAGAACATAATTACTATAACCGTGATGGAGAACTTATGGCATGCGTGCCACAGGTGGCAGGTGGACCCATTTGTTAGGGAATGTCAGCCGTTGCCCTATCAGCTCCAGCGTGCAAGCACACGTTTGCCAGCTGACTTCGGCCTTCTTTTTTGGCCGTTTTTCGCCCTCCAGAGGCTTCCCTGAAGCCACCCAACGTGTAAATTGGAATTTCGGGAATGGACTTCCGGTGTGCACGTTGGGCCATTTTTCACGCTCCTGAGGCTTCAGGGGAGCCTCCTGAAGGCTCTGGAGAGTGAAAAACGGCCCTATGGACAAACCAGAAGTCACAGTTCCCAAACGTCTGGGTCGCTCGTACCACCGTTTTTTGCCCTCCAGAGGGCCTCGGGGAGGGGGACTGGGGAGGCTGTTTTTGCCTCCTAGAAAGCCTCTGGATCCTGGGGAGGGCAAAATAAGCACACCAAAAGCTGGAGGAGGTTGCGCTGGTCGCGTGTGCATGTGCGCTGGGGTTGCATGTATGGCATTATGGGTGTGGGCATGCCCGCACACAACCCTCCGCGCTCCTCCTGCTTCTGGCACACAATTCAAAAAAGGTTAGTCATCACTGTTCTATAATATCATCTAGGCATCTGGAAAATTAGTCTAGATTATGGATTAAATCCTAAACATTCAATTGAACATCGGGATAACTAAATAATTGAAATTATGAAAAAAAAATATCTAAAGTATAATATTATTATAAACACAGGAGCACTAATAAAGCAAGATAGTAGCACTCATGTACATTAGATTTGGCAGCATCCTCACCTCTCTGAAAGGCAGTAAAAAGAGATTAAGGCCCATGAAAAAGTTGTTCCATCACAGAAATGAAGTTCCATCTTATCCCAATTTATTTTGCTTTTCTTTTGCCCCAAATGAGATGTTATGAATGCTTACACTGAATTTAATATTTATCATTTTAATATGCACTCC